ATAAGAGGGCCAAAACCTCCTCTCGTGACCCTGATAGAAATGCAGGAGCACATCTCGCCCCTCTCTCTGAACCCTCATGAGCTTCACAGCCAATTTTCACTCAGCCCACCTTGCCCTCCTGCCATCCCATCCCATCTGCACTCATTTCATGGGTTTGCTGGGAAAAGCCTGACCAGCAGAAGGTTCCTCTTGCCACGGGCACCAGCGTGAGGGGCTGCCCCAGGTGCCCAGGGAAGGGACACCCACACAGAGCCCTGCTGGTCCTGGGATGCTCCAGCCCAAACCAAAGGCAGGGAAGAGCCTCCCATTCCTGAATCCAGCCTTCTGTAGGTTTGGGATTTGTCTGCTCATGAGGGTGACTGCCCCTGCAGAAGGGGTTTGCATGAGTCATTTCCCATTCCTGCCCATATTTTTTATTAATATTGTCCCTCTCCCACCATCAACCAAAACTTGGCATCAGCAGCAGCTTCCCTGAAGGAAATCAGGGGGTTACAAACACCAACCAAACCTCGCCTGGAATGGGGGGAATCTGCCTCGTTCTGTGCCACAGTGTCAAGGTACAAACCTGATTGCTCAAGAAAGAAATTAGTGACAATTATAATCATCGTGCTGGGCTGCAGCTCTCTAATAGAAAACTGTCACTTTGGAGGATAAATACAGTCAGGAGCTCTCTGTGTGTGTGTGTGTAAGCCTGGGAGCACTCCTGAGTCCTCCCAGAACGGGGCTTTTTTTCAGGACAGCTGAGCATGAAACAGCCTCCCACCCATCAGAAGAACTTTATGTTTATATTCAAGAACTTTATATTTGATACAAGGAAGGAGGTTTTCACAGTGAGGGTGGTGAGGCTCTGGCACAGGTAGCCCAGAGAAGGCTGTCCCACCTCTGGAAGTGTCCAAGGCTTGGCTGGACAGGGCTTGGAGCAGCTTGGGACAGTGGAAGAGTGAGATGGGTTTTAAGGCACCTTCCAGCCTACACCATTCCATGGTTCCAGGCAGTGAGCCCAGGGATTGCTCTTCTCCCCCACAAGATGAGCTGAAGGGCAGAGAAAAACCCACATGAAGCACTTTAGGAGACACGAGGTGGAGAAGCACAGAAAAGGGAGGCAAAAGCACTCGTGGGGTGCCCATGGCAGAGTCTGCAAGCCCTCCCCGTGTCACTGAACTCCTCCTGCCACCTCCTCAGGGCAGGTGGAAACGCAGCTCCCAAGGGAGCCAAATCTTTTGCAAAGGGTTTCAGTGCAGAGGGAGAACTCCTTGCTGCAAGCCTGGAAATTCAGACCCCAAATGCGTGTGGCAGCTTTGGGAACAGTCAGGAAGCTCTCCCTGCCCTCCACTAAGGCCTACAAGAGCCCAAGCCTTTGCAGCAGAAGGTGTGGAAACCAGAGGCACAAAGGGAGGCAGTGCTGCTCCCAACTCTGAGGAGCTGGGACCCCTCTTCAGCCAGCTGCAGCACTTTAGGGATGTGTCAGGAGCCTTTCAGTGCCTGAGCACCAGCAGGGAAGGGCTGCAGGAAGGATTAAGGGGATTAACGTGGTCTGGGAGCTACTTCCAAGAGATTTGCCACATTGGAGAAATCCGGGCTGCAGTGCGAGAGGCTGAGCAAGGACCCTTGCCTTGCTGAGGGAGCAGGGAGTTTGAGAATCAAAGAAGGTCCAAAACACATCCTGCCCTGTGCTGGTCCTCCTCAAGACCTGCCACAGCTGTTCCAACCCACTGAGCTGCCACTGGCGAGCCCAGGATGCAGAGCAGCATTTCTGGGGAGGAAAAACCAGTTGTGTCCAGCCACGTTCACAGCCAGGCCTGCAAACTTCTGAATTGCCACCCACTTCATTCCTACAGGAACAAGGACCACAGAGACCCTTCCCTTTGTGCTGGGGAGGCCTGGGGGGCACGAGCCCAAAGGTGCAGCCAACAAGCCCAGCTGGCAGATCCCTTCCCACCCACACCACCTTCTCCAGGTGGTGACCACTCCAACCACAGCGAAAGAAATTTCCTGGTGGTCTTCCAGAAGTGGAAATCCTACAGAAATTATTTGGGTCACCAGCAGCCTCAGTAAAACCTTTGACACCATCCTCAGCACTTTAGATCATAGAACTAGCAGGGGCAGAGCTGCAGTGCAGGACAGGTTACGGCATGGACACCACCATGGCATGGACATTCACCATGGCATGGAGACCCATCATGGCATGGACACCACCATGGCATGGACACAGAATGGAAACCCACCATGGCATGGAGACCCATCATGGAATGGACACCACCATGGCATGGACATGGAATGGAAACCCACCATGGCATGGACATTCACCACAGCATGGAGACCCATCATGGAATGGACACCCGTCACAGCATGGACACGGCATGGACACTCACCATGGCATGGACACAGCGTGGAGACCCACCATGGCATGGAGATCCACCATGGCATGGACACCCACCATGGTCTGGACACCCACCATGGCATGGACACCCACCACAGCATGTACACAAACCGTGGCATGGACACCCAGCACAGCATGGACACCCAGCACAGCATGGACACCCACCACAGCATGTACACAAACCACGGCATGGACACCCAGCACAGCATGGACACCCACCAAGGCCTGCAGCATGGCCAGAGACCCACCATGCCTTCCTGGCAATCAGGCTGGCCCCTGCCCTGATGGCTCGTGGGTCCTAGGTGGCATCTCCTCAGGCCCACAGGTGGATCACGGTGTTTTTCTGCCACCCAGCTGCTGGCACTCTGCTCAGTGACCACCCAGAGGGGTGCTGGGGGCCCGGAGCAGGTGGCCTGGCTGTCACATGCAAGTTCTTTTGTGTGCACACTCCAACCATCACGTGTTCCACCTGCCCCGTGTGTCCTCCAGCCATCACGTGTGTGCTCCATCCACCACGTGCATGCTTGGTCATGCTCCATCCATTAGGAGTTCTCCAGTCCTCAGGAGCCTCCTCCAGCCATTACACACACGTTCTAACCCTCACGTGCAGGCTCCACCCATCACCTGCGTTCCTCATGTGTCACAACCATCCTGCAGCCATCACATCCATCCTCCAACCATCACATCCATCCTCCAACCATTGTGTGCAACCATCACATCCATCCTCCAACCATCACATCCATCCTCCAACCATCACATCCACCCTGCAACCATCACATCCATCCTCCAACCATCACATCCATCCTCCAACGATCGTGTGCAACCATCACATCCATCCTCCAACCATCACATCCATCCTGCCACAATCATGTCCATCCTGTAACCATCGTGTGCATGCTGCAGCCATCATGGGCATCCTCCAACCATGATAGGCATCCTCCAACCATCATGGGCATCCTCCAACCATCACATCCATCCTCCAACCATTGTGTGCATCCTGCAACCATCACATCCACCCTGCAACCATCACATCTATCCTGCCACAATCACGTCCATCCTCCAACCATGATGTGCATCCTCCAACCATCATGGCTCCAACCATCGTGTGCAACCATCACATCCATCCTCCAACCATCACATCCATCCTGCAGCCATCACAACCATTCTTCAACCATCACATCCATCCTCCAACAATCACATCCATCCTCCAACCATCACATCCATCCTCCAACCATCACATCCATCCTCCAACCATCGTGTGCAACCATCACATCCATCCTCCAACCATCACATCCATCCTGCCACAATCATGTCCATCCTCCAACCATCATGCGCATGCTGCAGTCATCATGGGCATCCTCCAACTACCATGGGCATCCTCCAACCATGATGTGCATCCTCCAACCATCACATCCACCCTGCAACCATCACATCTATCCTGCCACAATCACGTCCATCCTCCAACCATGATGTGCATCCTCCAACCATCATGGGCATCCTCCAACCATCACATCCATCCTCCAACCATGACAATACATCCTGCAACCATCAAATGCACCCTCCAACCATCACATCCATCCTCCAACCATCACGTCCATTCTTCAACCATCACATCCGTCCAACCACCGTGTTCATCCTGCAACCATCACAACCATTCTTCAACCATCACAACAATTCTTCAACCATCACATCTGTCCTCCAACCACTGTGTGCATTCTCCAACCATCATATCCATTCTCCAACCATCACATCCATTCTTCAACCATCACATCCGCCCAACCACCGTGTTCATCCTGCAACCATCACAACAATTCTTCAACCATCACATTCCTCCTCCAACCATCACAACCATTCTTCAATAATCACATCCGTCCTCCAACCATCACAACAATTCTTCAACCATCACATCCATCCTCCAACCACCGTGTGCGTCCTCCAACCACCCAGGCCCAGCCTAGGGAGGGCAGAGCCAGGTCCTGTGCCCTGGGAAGGGTCTGGAGGGGCCCGGAGGATGGCAAGGCTGTTGTTGGCCCTGCACGGTGCACGAGACTCTTCGTCTTTGTTAAAGCCTCCAGGCATGCTCTTAATGTTACCCCTCTAATAATAATATTTCATCTGCCTTATCTGATTAGGTTAGGCTCATTTGATTTTTGCAAAACACCTTTAATCACCTTGCAAATTCCCCATCATTACAAACAGAACCACCACAAACATTATCGGCAATCTGAGTTTTATTTTCAGCAATCTTTTTTTTTTTTCATATGCAAGAAAGACAGTTGTAAAAAAAATAATTTTAAAAATATGAACAAGACAGAGGCTGAGAAAACATTAACAAGGCCCTATGCTTTCTGCTAAAGTGCCTTCATTTCATTATCATTAAATTTGCCTAGTAATTAGATTTCGGTGCATGAATATTTTAAAAAAATGTAACAGACAGGCTGTCAAAAAAAAGCACGACAACATCAATTCGATAATTTTTTAGACAGAGACATTCATAAGCAATTAACACAGATTTCCTGGGGTTGGAGACTCTTTTTCTTTCTTTTCTTCTTTTTTTTTTTTTTTCTAATTTTTCCTATTCTTCCAGCCTTATGTTCTTCACCTGAAATTAAAAGAAAAATAAAATTACTGTAAACATCAGCTCTTTCTGCCCTTTTTTCCCTGTTTGCTAACATGATTTCAGTGCCATTTCCCCCTCGCTTAGCATGCTCCAGCACTCCTCCCCCCGCCTCCCACCCCAGCCTTGCTAAACACGGGCAGGCACAAGGTTGGGTCATCCATCAGACCTCCCCACTCCTGCAGGACCAGATTAAATTAAGGTTGCATGAAGCTTCTGTCTTGATCTTCAGGCATTTCTGCTGAAAACAGTGATTTTGATCACTATTTGCATAATGCACAGTTACGTATTCACTGGGTCCCTAATTATACGATCTGTGTTCGACACCGCTCCCGACGCGGGGAGGCTTGTGCGGGGCATACCAACCACTGCTCGCAGCATTCCTGCTCCTGCTCGGCCTCCAGGTGAGCCCAGGAGGATCCGTCCCCTCCCTGCAGGCTGGTGCCACCACCAGGGGTGGCACAGCCCCGTTTGCCCTTCCCACCTTGTTTGTGGGGGACACACCGAGAGCGGTGCCAGGCCCTGCCCTGCAGCTGCCAAAACAGAGCCTTTGTCCTCTCATTCTCATCCTCTGGGATGGATGTGAGGCCCACCAGCCTCTCTTGCCCATCCTGAATATTTCCAACAGCATAAAAAGGTGGATGGAAAGCAGCACACTCCAAATTTCCCCCGTTTTTTATGTCCTCAGCAGTCCCAGAAGAACCTCACAAGCCAGAAGAAAAGCCAGCCAGGGGCTGTTTGCTGAGGTGATTCAAGGTCTGAGCTGCTTTGGAGGTGGGAGAAGCACGTGGGAGGTTTAGTCCATGCCTGGACCCAGCACAGACCCCAGGCCACATTTCCCAGATGACTGATGCAGCACCACTGACCCCATGGAGACGCCCAGGAAGGAGCTGGTTGCTCACCAGCAGCTTCTTGCACTTGCAGGGGGCAAGTTCCCACTCCATCCTCAACTCTTCATTTGGAAACCAGCAACATTTGCAGGGATTTTCATAGAATTGTGGAATGGTTTGGATTGGAAGGGACTGAAAGCTCATCTCGTTCTACCCCTGCCATGAGCCCTGTCCAGCCTTGGACACTCCCAGGGATGGGGCAGCCACAATCTGTTTCATTTCAGACAAAGTTTTCCAAGTGTTTAGTTCTAAAACAGGTCCAAACCCTGAAATATCCAAAGACACCCTGCACAGGTCCAGCCCGAACTCCAGTGGAGCCCTTGGGATGCCAGCAGACCTGGCGTTAGGGGTGTGCTCTTACAACAGAAACATTATGCAGTGAGCCCAACGTGGGCCAGCCCACCTGCAGACAGGAAGCCAAAATTACCTTTTCAGGTGTTGAAGAGCACGATCTAGAGCTAAGAGGTGTGCTGAGAAGACAATAAACAAAACCCCAAACCACAATTATTTACCTAAACATAGGGGATGTTTAATAGCCATGTCTGTGTTATTTTTTTTATTATTGTTATCATCATGATCATCATCTCTGGCAAATTAGGAATTCACAAAACAGCCACACACAAAGAAAATCCTGGACCTCAACTCCGGTCATGCCTTCCTAAAATCTCCTTTGCAAGGTTTTATCGGCAAGAGCAGGGAGTAGAAGCAGTTGGTACAAGCAGCTGAAAGACCAAATCAAAAGCATGTGAGCAGATTAAAGAATCAATCTCTCCGTTTGATGCAGAGGAAATCCCACTAATTATAAAGAAGGGGCTTATTTCCTGGAGTCACTCTGTTTGAAGTCATCAAAACTAGTAATACTTAATTACTCTACTTTATGGAATATATAACATCGAGGCCCTTCGCCACTCGCCAGCCCACTGCTGCCATGGCTGGCGCTGGGTTTCCAGGGGCTGTGGTGATGTTCCTCCTCTACCTGTGCCCTTATTTATTCAAATGAAGCCCTTAACAGCCCTCACATGAGCCTGCAGGGAAGCATTTAAATGTGCTTTAAAAGGAGGTTATAATGAAAAAAAAACCCAGAGTGATTTAGCCCTGCGAGTTACCTGGCTATTACTGAGATGTGTGTGTGCTGCGTGTGTGCCAGCAGGCTCCTGCAGAATCAGGTACCGAGGATTAAACCAGACTGAAGGTTTTTGCCTCATCCTAATCCCTGAAAAGGAAAGGGAGCTGACAGGGCCGTGACTGGAACACGGCCACTCGGACCTTGCTGAGCCAGCTTTGAAGGTCCAAGAGCAAGCTGCCAGCTCCTGGTTCATGGGCACATCCAGATGACACCCATGGACGGGTGAAAAAGCACAGTCAGGTGTCCTGAGGAAATGAAAGGAGGCACGGGATCTTCTCAGAGCTGCTGTGAAGAGATCTAAAATGGAGCACTTCATGATTGTCCTCATCTCTCCAGGATAAATCTGGTCAGGATGTGCTTTGCTCAAGGGCCAACAACACCCAGTGTCCTCAAACACCAAGGTAAAGCTTGAGTTACTGCCACTAGGTGATTCACATGGAAGGAATCTCAGATTCCATTAAAAAGTAGTGATAATTCTATTTTTACAGGTTGAGAGAAACCTTGGAAAATGGGGGAAAACTTTGGAAAATGGGGGAAAACTTTGGAAAATGGGGGAAAAACTTTGGAAAATGGGGGGAAAAAAAACCCCAAGAGGTTCAGGCAGGAAAAGGTGAGTAAGTTCCTTTTTGCCATTCTTGGTGTGGTTTCATACTGATCTGAGTATTCCCAATTGCATCCCTAGCCCTGATGCTGCTCCCAGCACCTGAGTCTGCAAGCAAAGACTCCTAGTAGGGAACAAAACCCCAAAATTCTCTCCCAGGACACCATGAGGTTCCCTAAACCCAAAACTCTTCTAAAGGCAAACTCCAGGGAGCAGGTATGGTGGAGAGCTGCCCATTTCCATGGCTGGGGAGCACCAGCAGAACCCAGGGATGGGCTGGACTTGCTCAGGTCTGGCTGCTTATGAGACTTTTTTCAAATTGCTCTTTTTCCAGCTAAGTAAATGTTGAAGGGGAGGAAGAGGAGCACATCTCTTCCTTCATCAGCACCTGCACACACCCACCTGGAGATGCAGGAGCTGCACAGACACCACCACTGGCAATGACAAAACCAATTATTTCCAGTGCTCCATCCTGGAGCTTCTCCCAAATAACAGAGTCCAGCAGGGAGAGCACAGGGAGATGTGGAGCCATGAGCCTCTGTCTGAAATTCTGCACATACCATGGCAGCAGGAATGCCCCAGGAATGCTGCTTTGGAGTCATGAGGCCTCACAGCCAGGAATTGTGGGTGAAAAGGGTTTGTTTCCTCTAAGACAGAAGGGAAAGAAATCTGCTAAGCCTTGGTTTGAGCAGACTGGGAAATGCAACTGGGCTCCAGACTAGCTCAGCTGGCCTGAAAAATCCCTTTTAAGATGTCTGAGCCTTGTAGAATCGTAACATGTCTCTAAAAATCCCTCTGCCTGCATCCCCTTGCAGTTCTGCTGCTGCTGGGAGAACAGGTGGGTGCTGTGCTGAACAGCACCCACAGGGCAGGGATCAGCAGCACCTGCTGCTCCCCCTGCTCTGGCTGTGCCCTTCCTTGGTGGAGATCAGGCTCCAGAGAGGCCCCAGCACTGCTGGGCTCTGGGGGAGGATGGGATGCACTGAGGCATCCACACAGATCTGGGGGATGAGGGCTCAGTGTCCAGCCTGGTCTGCTCTGGGGTCCCAAGGACTGCACGGCCCTGCCAGGACCTTCCCTGCTCAGTGCTCTGCTTTGGAGAGCAAGAATCCACCCAGAGGGGCACAGCTCAGAGCCATCTTTTCTCTTTTACAGGCCTGGGGGGCGTGAATCAAAATATTTCCCTGAGCAACACTGAGAATTCCAGCATTTCACCCACTGCTGGTGGTGGGAATAGTTCAAGCAGGACCTGAAATAAAACTCTCACATTTCAGTCCCTCTGGAACTGAGAAACACCCACAACAAGCCTATAGCTGATTTTTTTTTTTTCTTGCCTCATTTCTTCAGCTCTAAGATATCAAAGGAGAAAAAGGATCTGCTGCAAGGCAAATATCCCTATCTTTGCTGGCTGGCAAGAGACCAGGAGGGGACTGTGTTTTATCCAAAGAGGCTTTCCAGGGCTGGACACATCCTCTCCTGTGATCTGTCATGGCCCAGGCAGCAGCAAGGAGAGGACACAGACTGCTCAAACCTGGGACTCAGCCTTGCACCTCCTGCTGCAGGTGGGAAGGAGCCTGGGCTGCTTCCCTCAGGGCTCTGGGCAGAAGGATGGGTTTAACCCCCCTGGTCCTAGCCCTGTCCTAAGTCAGAGCTCCAAGATGTTCTAACGGCAGAGCACAAACCAAACTTTGGCACACTGCTCTGAGACCTCAGGCAATGCACCTTTTTCCCTTCAACCTCAAAACGTGGGCTCAGGCCGAGGTGGGTTCTGTGCCTGAAAAATAAACACACCCACAAAAGACAAACCTTCCTGTAAGAGAAGGACAAGGGTTTAAATGCTCTGCTCGAGGGGTGTGTGAGGGGGTCTGGCTCTCCTGCTGGCTGGCCCTGGAGGAAGGGGTGAGTTGGTCCCCACTGCCATCACAGAGCGAAGACCTCGCCACAGCCTGGCTGAGGTCTGTTTGTCACTTTTCCTTCATTATTTGCAGTTTGTACACAGGCGTCATTAGGGATTCATTCGGTTTCCCTAGCAGCAGGCATTAGTCTGGCTTCCCTTTCCCCCTTCTCTCGCCAGCGCCCTTTATTTTTAGTGTCTTATTTACAGTTTGACAGAGTAACTGTAACCCTTGCAAGCTACTCCAGCGGCTTTAATCGGGGGAATAATGAGTCCTGTCTGGCGATGAATAGAATTTAGGGGACAGATTGTTCCACACTCGCCCGGTGGGGTAATTTATTTATGTGCGCACTTGTCAGGAGGAGAAAGGGACGGGGGATCTGTATGCACCGAGGACATTGCCGGCGCTGAAAGGGAAGGGAGAATGGAGCCAAACGCCCCAGATCCCGCTGCACCCCCCCGCCCCTCCGGCAGCTGAATGCCTCCGGTGGCCGTGAACTTGGATGGGCCGAAAGCCCCATTCCCAGGCCCTCGGCACGTCAGGGCTGCGGCAGCGGGCTCGGGGCTCCAGATGGGTCCGGCCGCGGCGGGCAGCCCTCCCCGGCACTGCCCCGCATAGCCGCGGCACGGGGAGCAGCCCCATAGCAACCGTACAGTAGCGGGAGCACAGCGGGGGTCTGGGAAGAGAGGCAAAGCCCTCGGAAAAATACAGGATGGGTCCAGACAATGGCTCTCTCTCATATCATAAATTACACGGCAGCGACAAAAAAGCGAGCGGATCCTGCCCTCTCGTCCCCGCTCCCACAGCCCGGGCGCTCGCTGGGCATCCCCGGGCATGGGGACTCCAGAAGGGGAGCACCTCCAGCCCACAGCATCCCCTTCAGCCTTTCCCTGTCCCCTCAAAGCACGTTTCATTTGCTCCACAGCTTTTCTGCTTCCTGAGCACCACCTCGCCTGGTGCACCACGACTCTGGTCCTTCAGCCACTGCTGGCAGTGCCCAAGTTCAGAGAGGAGCAGCTCCTGGTCCTTCTCCTTCTTTTGCTCTGGAGGGAAAAGTCCCTTTCACTCCCTTTTTCTTCTCCCTGTCTCAAAGCTGGGAGTGTTTTGCACCTAGAGCTGTCAGCAGCAAGGTCCCAGCTCAGTGACTCCCAGGAGATGGCTGGAGCTGGACCAGGCTGCACCACAGCCATCCCCGGGCTCCCGGGCAAAGCAGGGCACCGGGATCCACCAAGCTCCAAGGCCACCCCAGCAGGAGATGGCCCCCAGTAGCAGAAAGGATCCACCTTGCAGAGCCACTGAGAAGAGGCAGCACAGGAGTGCAGGGGGTCTCTTTGCACCCCCAGCTGCCAGGGTAAAAGAGGGGGGCTCAGGCTGCTCACCCCCACTCAGACATGGAGTGCTCAAGCTCCACCTGAGTTTGCTGCTGATGTCCCTTAAACCTCTCCCTGCTTGGCCCAGCTCCCACCTCCACTTGGTAACTTTCCTTTACAAAACCTCAAAGTTAGTCTAGAATTACATTTTCTACCTCAGTGAGGACTCATTTTAAGTAGCCAGTGTGGCATCAGGACACTCCAACTCTGTCAACACCCTTTTGACACCAGTGTAGCCGTTCTGGCTGCAGGGGATTTGCCTTCACTGCCCTGTCAGGAATGATTCTGACGCCCATTACCAGGATGGTGCAGAGCATTTTCCTGTTCCTGGAGTTTTAGCAGTTTACCAGCATACTGGGAGAGAACTGGGTGAGCCACATGGCTCAGAGTCCAAGCAACCACCCAGACACATCTCACCCAGCCTGGGTGCCCCTCACAGATCAGAGGGCTACAAGGACCACGGGTTCTGGCTACCTTAGACTTCATGGAAGCAGCAAGTTCGTGGGCAGTGCAGAGGACTAAACCAGGCAGAAAGCTGACATCACATCTCCAAGCCATGGAACAGAGAGCCAGTCTTCTCTGACTGTGCACTGGAGCAGAACTCGTGTGATGGTCCTGGCACTGTCACCATGGCTGAGGCCAAGGGTGATGTGCTGGCTGCTTGGGAGCCAAGATCTGACCAAGGGTGCTACAGCTGGAGAGAGCCCTCAGCCAGCACACGCACCTGAGACGCACCTGGGGGTCTGCCAAGATGGGGACAGTGTCTGCTCAGACCCCCAGACAGGACCTCACCCCAGGGACCCTGCAGCAGCCCCCGGGCAAAGGATGCTCCAGCCCAAGAGCCGATTTCTGGCAGAGAGGCTGAACCTTGCTCAGCCGAGCTCAAGGCGGGACAAGAGTCCTTAAAAAATGCGAGAAAAGGTGTTTGCAGCGGGAAGCTGTGTCTGCCCAGTGCTCTGGTGGGTGCCCTGCCCTGCTCCGTCCTGCCGAGGGAGCAGAGCGGTGCCGGTCCCAGCCAAACCTGCGGCACCGCCGCGTCGGGCCTGGGGAGGGGGACCCTCCTCCCGGGTACAATGACTGTCTATTCTGCTGATCACAAGCCTAATCCTCTTTGGTTTTTAATTGGCATTTGGGCTAAGCTGATTTAAACCTCTTCACCTTGTTGGGTCCCCCTCCCCACTTCTTTCTTTTCTTTTTTTTTTTTTTTTTCTGACCAAATAACAACGCTGCCATCACCAAGTCCCCGGCACAATGACAGCTTTGTGCAAGGGCGAGAGGAGAGGAAAGGGAAAGGGAGGGGGAGAAGGGAAATGTGCTGAACACACTCGGAAACAATGCAGAGTTTGTGATTCAGACTTGACCACTGGCAAAGGACCCGCTTCAGCTGCGCCTCCATAATAAACACACTGTCCCTTCCCAGCACCTCTCCCCTGCCCATCAGCTCCTCCCGGGCCAGCTGCCCACCGGTGTGGGCTCTACCTGCCATGCCCATCCCTCGAGGTGGATCCCTTCCCCACGCCCCAGTGTGACCCACCACGGTGGTGCCACATGCCCAGGCTCACCAGCGAGTGCCCCACAGGGCAGTGGGCAGGGTGGGCATGTCCTGGTGTCCTCTGCACCCTGTCTGTGCCTGTGTTGGTGCTGTGTCCCCACGCCGAGGCCCGGTGCTGGTCAGCAGCCCTGGTCAGCAGCCCTGGTCAGCCTGGACAGGCACTGGTGTAAATCAGGATCCACATCATGCTCCAGGCCGGGGTCTGCCAGCAGAGCAGGGAGAGGAGGAGGAGGAGGAGGATGAGGTGGGATCAGCCGTGGTGAGGGGCTTCTGCTGAGGGTCCCTCTAGACAAGGTCCTGCTGGCAGCTCCTCATGCTTTTTGGAGGGTGGGGTTTTCCTTATAACCCCCACTCCTGATTCATGTAACAATGAGCCAATCTGAGCTAAAACCAAGCACAACAGAAACACCTTTATTATTCCCTTTTCATTTAACAGGAAACCCCCCTCCCCTGTTTTTGTTTATTCCTGTGGATGAGACAGACACCTTTCCCAGGGATTGGGCATTACAGGTTAACAAACCCACAAAAAAAGATGTTAAACACAGAAAAAAAATCCAGATGTTTGAGACTTTGGGCCCAATGGTCATCAAGGAAGGTTATGGTGACCATGGAGATTTTGGTTCCTCTTTTCTCCACCATGTGGTCCCCACGAGCTCTCACCAGTCCCCAAGCACTTGCCATGGAGACACTCAGCCCATCTGGCAGCATGATGGTGCCATACCCAGTGTAAGTTTAGGGAAATGTTTTTTAAAAAAATCCAAAATTTTAAAATATCCCCTTACCAGGATGTTCCCATGAACTCTCACCAGGGCCAGAGACAATTTGTGAGTCAGAAAACGAGCAGCAGGTAGGGTGAGCCCACGTCCAGCCTGGTAAGAGAGAGAAAAGAGGATGTTAAATGTCAGACCCGTGTTCTCTGGCTGGATTACATCAGGACAGGGAAATTACAGCCACACTTCTGACATGAAAGGGGAATGAGGAAGAGAGAATTAGTCTGGAAAACTCTCAGCATCCTTGAAACTGGGCTGGTTTCCTAACTTATGATGCCTCTGTGGGGCTTTAGCCTTGTAGGGAGCAAGAGGAGCTGGGGTCTGCTCTGGGGCAATTTGAAATAGCTGTTCGAAATTAAATGAAATTAAATTTAAAAGTAAATTAAATTTTAAAATTCTCATTGCACCATTCCCTGTCCCTGCCAGGTATGGTGCCAGCCAGCACCTCACTGCAGTTTTGTGTGGCGAAACCAACTCCACGTACTCAAAAGCTACAAACAGGACCAAAAACCTCTAAATCTAAGTAAAAAAAAAACCCACCTTCTTTATTTATTCCTTGTTTTCTGGGGAGCTGTTCTCTCCAGGCCTCCCTCCCTGCCCAGGGCAGTGACTGCTGCACCAAGACCCAAAGCCAAAGGCAAGCCCAGAGCCCCCTGAGGCTGGGGGATTTGTCCTGGCTGATCTGAGCACTTGAGGGCAGAGTCCTGGACCAAAGGAGGAGCCTCTCGGGATGCATTCTGTGTTTGCCACCCTCAATGCAGCAGGAACCCAGTGAAAAAGCTCATCCCTGCTTGAAAATACCAAAACTGAGCAGCCCTGACCCTTTGGAAGCCTTGAGATATCCTCACAGTACTGTTTTATATTTTAATAATATACTAATATTCACTTTATGTACTTTCCATGTGTATAAACTCTGTTGTAGTGGTTTTGGTTTGCTAGTTTAAGATTTCTCTGCCTCCAGCTGTGGCTACTCACAGGTTGCACATGGATTTAGATACTCAGTGCAGAATTGATGTGGTTTAACTGAGGAAGAGCCCAAAAAGGAGCTTGTTCTGCTGGCCTTTAGTCCCATAAATCACCTCTAACACTACAGAAACCAGAGACAACGTGACCCTGTGGAAATTCAGTGGTGCCCAGACCCATCCTCTCCTTCCAGCTCTGCTTCCATCACATTCCTGTGCCCCATCCTAGGGAAAGAACCAGAAAAAAGGAAGGGGAAAAAAAAATCCCCCAGCACAGTCTGAAGTTTATAAATAAAAGCAGTGAGAAATGGACTAAGTAGCTGCAGCTTAGTCCAAGAGCTAAGAGCTTTAGCGCATTTTTGCAAGTTTTAGGGAAGTATTTCCCATTCCTGACTAAGCACGTTTGGCAGGCAGAGTGGAGCGCGTGGCTCTTCCCAGATCCAGCAAAAGGGCTACAACAGTGACAGTTCCCCCTTCCCCAGCCCCTTCCCACCCCAAAAACCCCTCCAAGGACCAGGCTAGAGCCAAAGCCAGCCACGTTCCCCACGGGGCTGCCCCCAGCCAGGTGTGTCTGGGACTCCAGCATCAGCCCACAAGCAAAAAATGTGATTTATTTCCCTTCTAGGGATAAATTTTGAGTTGGTTTTAATCTGCTTTCAAAATTCCCGTCACACCAGGGTTAAACTCACTTAGTGTATTTAGGCTTTTAAGTTTCCAGGTCTCATGGCAACAGAGGGATGGGGAGAAATTAAAAAGAACAACAAACGCGGTGTTCCTCATGGAACACCAAGATTTTCACCTAAACCACAAACCTCTTGCAATGAGTCTTCAGATAAAACACCCCAATATATTTCAGGTGCTGTAGTAAAATTAATCACATCCCACCAGTTGTGTGAAGAGATTTTTTTCCCCCCTCTAAGATTAACCTGAGCACAATAACTTTGTGCCCACAGATCACCTGGACCAGGCGAAGCACGGAGGGGATGAAGTCACTCCTGTTTCACATTGATTCTTCCCCCCTGTCTTAAACAGCCATGAAATGGTTTCAGCAACAGCAAAAATGAGGCTATTGAATTTTTCTAGTCCAAAATAAGGAGGAGGGGTAAAAAAAAAAAATAATTAAACAGCTGTTTCACTAATGTTATCACAGTACACAAAGAATGAAATGTCATCTAGTGCATCTAGGAAAAAATTCTGCAGCCAAGCCTCAAGCCCCACACGGAGGGTACTTTGAACAATAATGTTTTTTAAAATATGGCAAAAAAAAAGCTGATAGACCCGCCTTTGGTGGTGCAAAACCTGGAGACGAGGTGAAAAGAGGCTGGTTTTGGGCTGTGGGTTGGCTGGGGCCTTTTGGGCTGTGGGTGGCTGTGACACCTCGGTGACGGCCGGAAGAGAGAAATCCCAAATCCCAAATCCTGGAGAGGCCGGGATGAGCCCCTCAAGGCTGAAGACCAAGATGAGCCCCTCAAATCTGGGATGAGCCCCTCAAGACTGAAGACTGGGATGAGCCCCTCAGGGCTGAAGGCCGAGATGAGCCCCTCAAGGCTGAAAACCCCACAGCGAGGCCAGGATGAGCCCCTCGAGACTGAAGAGTGGGATGAACCCCTCGAGACTGAAGAGTGGGATGAACCCCTCGAGGCTGAAGGTCCCGCAGCGAGGCTGGGATGAGCCCCTCAAGGCCGGGATGAGCCCCTCGAGGCTGAAGACTGGGATGAACCCCTCGAGGCTGAAGGCCCTGCGACGATGCTGGGATGAGCCCCTCGAGGCCGGGATGAGCCCCTCGAGGCTGAAGGCCGGGATGAACCCCTCAAGGCTGAAGGCTGAGCCCCTCAAGGCTGAAGGCTGAGCCCCTTGAGGCCAAAGGCCCGATGGCGAGGCCAGAATGAGCCCCTTGAGGCCGAAGGCCCGGTGGCGAGGCCGCGGCACCCAAAGCACCGCAAGCGGCTCCGTCCCATCCCATGGAAGCCGCCGGAACGCGACGGAAGCCGCCGGAACGCTCCCGCCCGCGTGGCTGGGCCCGGCCGAGGGGAATCGGCCATTTTACACAGCAGCTGCCTAAAATGGTGGCTCCCACCTTGCCTTCCCCTCAGCACGCATGCACCCACGGGGAGGGGAGGGCCGGGGCCGCAGCCCCCCGCTCGCGAGGGCGCCGGGAACGGGAGCCAAGATGGAATTAGAGGCAGAAATTAAAGGAGGGGAAGGGGGGCAAGCGGGAGAGGATGCGCCTGGCCTCGCCACGGCCTAGCCAGCGATGGCTGGCTTTGTGTCCTGCGGAAGGGAGAAGGCAGGAAGGCCTTGAGGGGGGAAAATGGGGGGAAAGAGGGGAAGGAAAAGAGCGTTTGGGTGAGGATGGCGAGGGGCAGGGATGCGCGGGGTGCGGGGAAAAAAATCTTCCCTTCTTTCTTCACCGACCCCCCTTCACCCTCCCCGCAATCCCGCTTTGACTTTTCCCACAGAAGTAGCCAACCTCCAAGAATGCAAATGACATTCATTATGCAAATGCATGCAAATCAGGTTTAACTATCGGAAGAAGGGCTCGGAATTTCTAATGGGTTAACTCTTTCCTGCACGGCCCGGATAACAAGAGCCCTCGTGTCTTCCTTGGGGCTTTGTGCTTCCCCATCCATCGCGGGCACCCCGACCCGCACCCCTCGATGGGCACCGAGGTGGGGAGGGTGGAACAAAGCGTCAGGAAAATACCAACAACAACAAGAAAAAAATCCCTACTGGCGTGGGAGCGGCTGGCCCTTCGTTAAATGTTCCAGCAGGAGACAAGACAAAGCAGGCTTAAGTGCGAAATTGGGGGGAAAAATGGAAATTAAAATGGGAAAAGAAAACAAAGGAAAAAAATAGGAAAGCAACAACGACAAAAAAAAAAAAAAGGAAAAATAAAATGAAAGGGAAATGAAATATTAAAAAGGAAAATTAAAAGGAAAATAAAAAGGAAAAGAAAAAGGAAATAAAGAAAAATGAAAATGAAAAAATAAATTGAAAAATAAAATTATATAAATATTAGGTTAAAAAATAAAGGAAAGGATAGAAAAGGAAGGGAAGGGAAGAGAAAGAAGAGGAGCAGGCCGCTCTTGGCAGAAGGTGAAACCCTCCGGTGGTGCAGCAGAGAAGGGTCCTGGCAGCCACAAGGGTTTGGCTGCTCACATCGAACCCGCTCACTGGGCTGGCCTTGGCTCTTCTTCTGCCGGGAACAAAGTCACAAAACACACCAAGATTCCATTCTTCCTCTTTTTTTTTTTTTTTTCCTTCCCCCCCATCAGTATTTTCATTGAGGAAAAAATTAAATTTCAATTTTCTCCAGTGCTGGGTGAGCCCGTGGTCCTCCGGGGAGAGAGGGAAGGAGGAGCAGAGGGTGACAGTTGTGACACTGGGGTGCCAATCCACACGCCTGTGACCTGTCCAGCATCCTGGCATGTCCACAGCGCATTAAAAACGTGTGGCATCAGTGCCCCACTCCCCCAGACCCGTGTAAAAATCCTCATTCCTGATCCCTGCCCCAAAGATGAGAAAGCCCCAGTGCTGGGAACTGAAACAAGGAAATTCCAGGTAGTGACCTCGTGCTCCCTGAATGTTGGGATTGCAGGAATTATGAATATTACCGAGAAACAGCTGCATGGCAGAATTCCAAATATTTTATAGCAATATTGTATTGATTCACAATAATAAAGCACTTTAGGATTATTGCTGTGTTTTGCCCGAGAATTATTCCTTATCTCTTCCAAAACCTCTTGATTTTTCTGTTATTTTCTATACCTCCTTTTACGTTTGATTTTTTTCCCAATCTGCTCAAAATCTCTTGTTATTTGAGCTGTAAGGTGTTAAGTGCAGCAGCAATAATCTGCGCAAGGACAAGAATTTTTGCAATTTTAGGGGCTTGGTTTGAGACACCACAAAAATTATTGGTTTAGAGTCACTTTTCTGTGCTCTGAAATGCACGAGCCCAGAGCTACTGGTCAGTTATAAAAAAAATAAACTCTTTTATTTCATTTAGCTGGTTCCAGCATAATAAGGCCTCTGCAGAGGGTAAAATGTACTTGAGGTGTGCACTTTGACAAATCCCTTTCCCTACTAAAAATAAAATTAAAAAAAATAGAAAAATAATGGTATTTTTTTAAAAAAAGACACCAGTAATCTGGGTTTCTTTATATCTTCTGGCCTCCAGCCCATTGGAGCAGGAGCCTTGCTCTGCTCTCCTCATCTTGTTTTGACTCCAAGCCCCAATTTCCAAGTTCACACATCATTCAAAAGTGGAATTGGGTGATTTTTCTCTTTTTGAATTAGTTATTGGAAAGCATATATTAAAGGAATAACTGAGAAACAAACACACACATCCTAAAAAAAATAAATATATATATATATATATATATAAATAAAAAAGAATAACTGAGAAACAAACACAGACATCAAAAAAAAAAAATAAAATATATATATAAATAAATAAAAAAGGGCTGGAGGATGCTGGGGGTGCAGCAATGCCCAGCCATAGCCAGGAGCTGCTCATCACTAATGACCAATAAAAAACTGAATTATTCTGGCATGGGGCTGACAGCACAAACTCCTCAGATGCACAAACTCCTCGTGAGCACCCAAACACCCAGAAATTGTCATTTCCTGGCACGGGAAGGAATCAGGATGCATTAATAAATACCTGGTGTCCTGGGCGTCCCCGGAGCTGCGGCAGGACGGGCCTCGGGCTGCAGGACACAAAACCAAGGTTGAGTTTAGCACAATGTTGGCAGAAAGCAGTGAAGAAATTTCTGGGTTTAAAAACTCCAAGTGGAGTCACTTGAAAAGGGGTTTTGGCTACGTCTCTGAAAGTAATTTTTAAATTTTTGATAGTTTTTTTTTTTTTAATTTATTTTTTATTTTTTATTTAGGCCTCCTGTTCATTCAGCTCTCTTTGCCTTCGCCTTCCCTCTCTATCAAATTTCCCCACTCATGTTTCAAACCCATTTGTTCTTGTTTTTCCCCTTTCTGATGCACCTCTTTGGCTCTGAAAAATTCCTGAAGACAGCCAACTGCAGCCTTTGGGTTCAGGGTGGGAAAAAAGGTGCCATGGGCATTTGCAGTGTCTACATCACCCCATTAAAAACACAATTTTTGATACATTTTAACCCCTTTTCATTAGAAATCAATAAGACACCCTCTGAGGGTTTATCCACACAGGGGATGGAATGGACCCTGGCAACTCCCACAGTAATTTCTTGTGTGGAGGGACCTGCAAGATCCCTGGAATAAAAGAAGAAGGTGGGGAGGTGTTGAGAAATTAGAGTGAAATCTATGTAGTGAAAATAAATGGACAATTATTTCAGGTGGTGCAGGGGCTGCACATCCCATGGCAAACAAGCAACAGGAACAAACTGACCCCTTACAGCCACTTTCTTCCCCATTTTTCTCACCAGCCACTTCAAAAGCCATCTTTGCCAGATGCCAAGAAGTTTTCTGCCTCAAAAGCCATTTTTTCCCCCCAACCTCACATTCCCTCCTTGCCAGAGAGTGTTTTCCAGGAGAGACATTTACGTTTTGCATAGCCACACCATGGGGAAAAGACAGGCTGGAGAAGTTCTTTGAATGGATTCAGTATCGTGAAAAATTACCAGAGGCAGCAAGAAAATATCCTGGACACATGGAAACGCCAAATTCTCGTGATGGGAACAAAAATGCAGCAGGAGATACCTACAGGGATGACAGTCCAGGTGCCCCAAACCAAAATTCCAGGAGCCACCTGGGCATCACCTGGCACCAGTTAAAGCACTTTGAGGCAGAATCCCAACTTTTCAGCGCTCCTGAGAGGAAAAAAGGAATTTTGCAGCCGCCACTTAAACTGTTCTTGTGCTGGCTGTGCTCATCTCCTCTCAGGATGCAATGGGATGTGAAAGCATCCTTGGACCACAAAGGAATTTCCCATGGAATCCTAGAGAAGATTTGGGGTTGGATTATCAAGCCTTAAAAGCTGCAGGAGGCACAAGCTCTCGATATTGTTATTTTTGGAGGCACAAGCTCTCGATACTGTTATTTTTGGAGGCAAGGGCTCTCGATACTCTTCTTTTTGGAGGGCTTCTGATACTGTTATTTTTAGCCAGTTTTAAGTCATCTCTCCAAGCCCTTTTTTTAGAGCCAGCTCACCAACCTTCCAGGGCCGGGGTGGTTTGTTTTTTTTTTTTCTTTTTTTTGCTAAACTCAATTCTCCAGCTCCCGAGGCTGCCAGTAGTGCTCAAAAAAAATAAAAATTATTTTAAAAAAATTTTAAAAATCACTCCCAAAAAATCTCACACACAACACAAAAAAAAAAAAATCCAATCCCACCACTCTTTTTTTTTTTCTTATTTTCCCAAAGAACTGGGAGGCGTGAGCACTCGAGAGTCAAATTTGCCCAGGACCCGCGTTCCCTAAGAAAGCAGGGCTCATTCGCCTTCCACAAACTCCGCAGTGGCAACAAAAGTCCCTTTCAAGCCCTTCCAGACGCAAGTCCTTCAGCTCAATTAGTCAGGCACACAGAGACACAAAAAAGCCTCCCATTCAGGCTAGTGGCTGGCTGTGGAGGACAAGGGCGAAGAAAGGATCTTTCTCCCACGCTTTCACTGGGTGTCATAACAAGCAGAAAGCCCTCTTACGGGGGGATTATTGGAGATAAGAGTCCGATGGAGGGGCTGGGGCAGCAGCAGCAGGGGAGGAGGGGATGGGGCTGGGGTTGGAGGTTGCAGCTCCCAAGGTTGGGTGAGCACGGCCGCTGACGGCATCACGCTCCATCAGAAATGGATTTTTTTTTTGTAAAAAAAAAAGGAAAAAATTACGATATTCCCCCCCAGCCTGTACACACACACGCGCAGAATAATCCCCGTTCTCCATGGCAACCTGCTCCGTGGCCATCCCTCGCACCAGAGGAGGGAGGCAGCTTGCTTTCACTCCCGAATCTCTGCCAGCTTGCCCCGATCCTGTCACAGCCTCAGCCCGGCTGGGCAGAGCTGGACAGGCTTCCTCCCGCTCGCTCGCCTCCAAAAATCAGGGATTTTCCACAGCAAAGATGCACAGCTCCGTGGGAAAGCTCTACCTCCAGAAAGAGCCAGCCCTGCTCCTGCACATGGGTGGGTTTAATGTTGGAAAGACCTTTTCTCATGGAGAAGAAGAAGAAAAATATGTGTGTGCGTGTTTGTTAGCGGGGTTGGTTTTTCGAAGGCAAAACAAAGGGAAAAAAGAGAGAAAAATCTCCAAGGACTGGAGTTTGTCTGCAAAATTGTGGGGTGGGGTGGTGGCCCAGGGCCTCCCGTGGTCCCTCGCCAGTCCCGAGCCCTCAAACCTGCCCCCGCCAGAAGGGAAAATTTCTGCACCTTCTGGCCAGGCCTCAGCAGGAAGAAAACTCCTCTGGATGCTGACAGTGCCCTGCAGGATCAGCCAAAGCTCCTGAGTGAATTACGTGCCTAATTCCTTTGAACAATCCACGTTATATTGTTAATTCCCCTTCACTTTTCCATTGGCTCTATATGTGGCAAGTGCCCCTCCAGATCTTTTCAAAGATAAGATTCCTCTGCCCCTGGCAGAGTCAAAAAATTCAAAGCAAAAAAAAAAAAAAAAAAATTTGGCTTTTTTTCCCTCCTGCCCAGTCCCAAGCCCTGCCAGTGGGATTGTCCCGGCACCATGGAGGAGCAGGTGACAAAAACATCCAAGTTCAGCAACATTTTACAAGGATCAGGGAGGGAATATAAACTCTCCAGCCCAGGAAGGGAAAGCCAAGAAAGTCTCTTGGAATACATTATCCCATAATTGTAGGGTTTCAAGCACTTTCCTCCCAAGCAGCTGGTGCCTGCTGATGCCAGAGGAAGGTTGTTTGGCTCAGACACATTCCTGCCCGGGAATCCCTAAAACAATCCACTCCTATGAAATACTGTAAAAGCAGAATATTTCACTCAACCAAAACAGCAGAAATTTACTAAAACATTTAGGGGAAGAGGTAGATGAAACAAAGCAGATTCCTTAGGGACAACCTTCCTCCTTCCCAAAGAGCTTTCTGTGCCTCCAAAAGGGTGAAGAAGATCTGAAAGATCCCCTTTCCCTTTCCCAGAGCTCACACACTGATCCATAAAATCTTTTGTGGTTTGGTTGATGTTTTTTGGTTTTGGTTTTGTTTTTTGGGTTTTTTGTTTGGAGGGGGTGGGGATTGGGTTGGTTTTTTTGTTTGGTTGTTTTGGGGGGTTTTTTTGTTTTGTTTTTTTGGTTCGGCTTGGTTTTTTTTTCAATAAAAGATGAGTTTCCAGCAGTCAGGAACCTGCTGAAGGTCAAATTAAACCTGATTTACCATCCTTGACCTAAACAATGCAAGGCCACAAGATGAGCCAACATCCCCCTGGAGCCACACAGGGCTCGAAACCAGGCCAGTCCACCACCAATGAGTATCCAACACTTATTAATCAGCACTTTTTCCTCTTTCTGAGAACTGCATTTTCTCCTTATCCCAGAGCAAGCTGCACCTCATGCCCTCGGCTTGCCTGTAAAAATGCACCACACGAGACCAAGCAGCTCAAGGCAGCACCCAACATGGATGCTCCCTCCATCCTGGCATTGCTCCTTTTGTCCCTGCTCCAGCAAGATTCAAACCTCTGGAAGAGGAATTACAATTATTTTTACACCTAGCCTGGGCTGTCAAAGCCGAAGCTCAAGCCATGGCCGTGGATGCTGGTGAGGATTACACAGCTTTAGTTACAGATGCCAGGTCCCAGCCTGCCCTCAGCTGTAACAGGATAAATCCTGGAGTTAAACACTGAGCAGGAGACTGCGATCCACTGATAACAGATCCAGCACGAGTGCTGCTCCAAGACCTCCCCAGCAGCCCTGCAGACACACGGACACCCCCAGGATACTCCCAGCATTCAGGCATCCCTCTCCGCACCCCAAAACAAAGTTTCCCATCTCTTTTGCTGTGAAAATGCCCAGGGCCATGCCAGCCTTGCCCGCAGCCGCCGCCCCTTCCCCGCTCGGCCAGCGAGAGGTGGCGGGGCTCACCCGCACCGGTCCATTTCTAGATCTGTCCCCGAAGATCCCGCCGGGCAATCCGGAATGCCACCCCAGGACTATATTTATCCTCCCCCCGACAAGGCTGGGCCAGCAAAAGCTGCGGTGAAGGGAGAGCGGAGCTGCCAGAGCCGCGGCCCCGCTTTCACATCCGATCACACCGGCTGCATCTGAGCGACCTGCCCGCTGGCGCCCGTCTCCTCCAGCAGCCCGAGGACCACAGAATCATCATTTTATCATTTTCCTCCTAGCTGTGCCCCCCTCGGGGCACTGTCACCCGTTTCCCCCGGGCTGGGTGCGGGAGAACCGCCCGGCCCCGTGTGCTGGGCACGCAGCACCACGTTTGGGGAATTCAAGAAATCTTTCCTGCCATACAGAGATCGGCACCGACCACCTCAAAATCACCCCAGGGTGCTGCAGAGCACCCTGCGAAGTGCCAAACCCGATGGGCAAAGCCACGCTTTGCGACAAGGACAACACGACCGTGCCCTGCTGCAGGCTGAGCCCCGAGCGCCGAGCCGGGGGCAGCGGGGCCCGGAGCCCAGCCCGTTAATTCCGAGCATCAGCCCAGCCTCCGGCGACAAGGACAACACGACCGTGCCCACCCTGCTGCAGGCTGAGCCCCGAGCCGGGGGCAGCGGGGCCCGGAGCCCAGCCCGTTAATTCCGAGCATCAGCCCAGCCTCCGTTCCCACACACCGCCACTCGCTGAAATTAAAGCAGGCCCTGATCTGATTCCTATGGCGGCTTAGCGCGCCCACTCAGCCGGTTTATCATAATCCCGACATAAAAATCGCTCCCTTGAAAACGCTCAGGGGTTTGAAGCCCTGATTGTTTGAAGAGGAAAGACTCTGTTCTCAGCACAAAGATGTGCTCCCCTCTCAGCCCCGGAGCGGCAGCTGGAGGCTTCCATCAGCATTTCTGCCCCTGTGGGTGCCCACGGCAGAGCCCTCACGCTTTTCTTGGCACAGAGGTGCCCCCCAAACCCAGCTCGACCAGCTGGGCCACGCAGCCCCCCAAAAAGAGCAGAGCTTTGGGGATTGGTGCTGGGAACAAGTCAGCGCTGGCTGCCAGCCCTGCTGCGAGAGCATCTCTAAAAAACCATCCCCTCTGCCTCCAAACCCAGCTGCGACTGCTTGTGGGAAGGAATTAAATCTGTGCGTTTCAGAAGGAAATGGATACATGCAAATTTCTGTCGTATCGGTGGCATTTCTTTGTGGTGGCACTGCAGTGCTATTCCACACCTGCCCCAGCCAGGGTGCACGGGACTGAGCTGGGAGAAAAGGACACTTCACATACCAGGGAGACCTCAAAGGGCTTGAGCCATCAGGGCCTCCTTTTGTTTTCAGTTTAAAACTGTAAAAGGCAAGCAAAAAATTCCCTCAGTGGGGAAATGTCTGCTTCCCTCGAACACCATAAAATTATTTTTTAAAAAAAACCAAACATTTTTTAGCTACTTTTCATCATTCCAGGCTGAGAATTTTCAAATACAAAATGTCAGAAATACACATATTTTATCCATCACAAAGTAAAAGTTCATATCCAGTGGCAGTCCCAACCAGCACAAGAATTTCTGCCCTTTTTGCCAGTCCCCCGACCCGCAGCGCTCCTACAATGAGAACGGTGCAAAAGGGCTTTGGCCCCAGCCACAAACTGCATTTCTGCACTGCCAACACAAGCACTAAAGACAGAAGCTAAAGGAGATCCACTGAGTGAAATTAATCATTTTCAACATTTATATTTGTAAAGGGTCATTCTCCTCAACATCTCACTGAATCACGGAAAAACCACTATTGCATTTTTGTCTTTTTTTTTCCCCCTGATTCCAAACTGCTGCTAAACAAGAGAACGATGTGGAGAGCTGATACCTCGCTCCCAAACGAGTGTGTCTCCTATTAATGTCTCCAGCAGTTATGTGGCCAGAAGGGAGAGCAGAGTAGACAGTGCTGAGTGTTAACCAGTCAAATCATAGTGTCCAAGCAAGCTTAAACGGCCACATGTAAACTGCAATTTGGATCAATGTCACGCAAACACGCAGGGCTTACTGCTGGAGCACTCCAGGAGGAAATCAGGGAGAAAAAAAAGGGAAAAAAAATTAAAAATCAGCTATTTGCAAGACTATTCCAAAGCCCTTGGAGACAGCCCAGCTCACAGTCACACAGACATTTCCACCACTGGAAATGGTTATCCCTCACAACAAAAACTCAAATTAAAAAGAAATTCCACCTGACCAAAGAGTAACATGCTCCAGCAGCACCCAGAGACCGCAGCAAATCCTGTGGCACCAGGAACCCCCAGAGAGCCATCCAACAGCTGAGGGGCAACGAGGGAGCTGGAACTGGTTTCCATTTTCTCCCCAGGCTGGGAGCACAAAGGGACGGGGGATGAACATGGAGGTTCTTTAGCCCCACAGTGTCACCACATCTCTGAATGGCACTGGGGGTCACAAACATTTCAAAATGAGCTTTTTGCAGCTGAGAATGAGGTGCAAAAGCTCCAGAGAGCCAACTTGGGCCTGGTGGGCTTTAAACCCACCCTCTCCATCACCAACCAGCACAGGCACCTCCTGCCCCTGGCTCCAGGCCCTCCACACATGGTTTGCTAAATTCTTGGAGGAGTTTCATCCTTGTCCCAGTTTACATCCCCCTGCTCCTGCTCGTGCCTTTGTTACGGCCAAAGAAGTGACACCATCCAAACCAGCCTATGGCAGCGCCGCACAGCCCGGGATTGGTCACCCAGGAACACCAAAAGATGCTCCCACAGCCCCCGATTGGAGAAAAGGCATTTTCCCCTCCTTGAGGGGAGCCACGGGCCAATGGTGGATGGCACATGGCAGCTTCCCAGGGCTCACCCTGGATAAAAGTGCCTCGTCCCCCTCGGAGCCACCGCGCCCCTTGGGCCACGCTCGGTGCCAACATCTGCCCACAGACACATCCTGGCCACCACCAGCTGCACCAGCAGAGCTCTGTCTGCCTGAAAAGATGAGTGAGGAGAGCTCCGAGCTTTGTCACCGCTTTGTCACCAAGGCCAAGGGTGTCCAGCCTCCCCCTGAGATGCTCAGGGTGTGAGCATCCATGGAGATGCCTCCCCTTCCTTGGGGGCTGCTCTCCCGTCCGTGGAGCAAAGCTCCCTGGTGCCCTGTCCTCCTGTCCCTCTCTGGCTGGGGACAAACAGCCTGGCCAGGAGAGCAGCACCTCGCTCCCCTGGGGAGGAGCAGCAGGGTGGCAAAGGAGAGCAGGGAATCAAATCAGAGCCTGTAAAAACTTCCCTGCATCCCTGCCGCCGCCAGCACCAGGAACAACGGCAGAACCTCAGCGGGAAGAAGGAAAGAAGGTTCTCCCCAAGCTCTCCCCAAGCAGATCATTTCAGAACTCCACTCCACACATGGGCTAAATTATTCTGAATTCCAGGCTGAGGGGGAATAATATCTTGTTTATTAATTTCAAGCGTTCACGTGAGCAGGATAAATCTTTTCGCGTCACACCCAGCACTACAGCCCTTCCCTGAAGGAAGCGCCAGGGACGGTTCCTTCTGCCCTTTTGGGTTTTTTAAAGATCCCAAACGAGCGAAGCGAGCGGGTCCAGCACGGGTCAAAAGTCAGTTCATCCCTACACCTCTCACCAGAGGGTTTTCATAAAGTCACAAAGCTATAATTGCTCCTTTCCAAAATTAGTTCAGGTGCCATCACCCACATTAGCTCTTTATTATTATAAAGTCTTTTTTGATTTTGGTTTTTTTTTTTTTTTTTCCTCCTTGGCCGCCCCGTTCTGATATAATTTTGTCTTAATCCACCATGAGATCTTTGTGTTCTTCTAAGCAACATCAAGACACCTTTTCAAAGAGGTTGCTGTGATTTGTAGGTGGCATCTCAGGCACCTGATTATTAAAAGCAAGTGGGAAGCACCCAGTTCACCTCTTTGACTCAAAATTCCCTTCTACAATAGAGCAGATTTAAAAATCCCACTTTCCATAAGGAAGAGGTTGAGGAAAAAATCCATTAAAGAGGAATAAGGACCAACATCAATTTGCAGAGAAGATAAATTAAGCAAAATCAAGTTCCCCAATTAGTCTCATGCGGTTCCACACACAAGTTTTACATATATATACATATATATATACATATATATTTATATATATATATATAAAATCTCTCTTGTCAATCCCCAAATTAGAATCTTGAGTCCATTCAAAGAAACATTCATAAACAAAGGGTTAAAAGAAGAAAGGAAGCATTTGGATAGAGACACAAGGGAAGAAAAACAAAGAAAACTGCAAGAAACCATTTTACAAATCACCATATCCTTCTTTCTAATACTGATATCAAGTTATAGCTGTCAGGGAGGAAAATTTATGTATCTGTATAACAGATAGGGAAGAGGGGGGAGGGAAGGTAGAAAAAAGGAAAAAGAATCCAGCACTCATATTTGCAAAACAACCATTAATAAACATTGCTCTGTTGCTGCTTTATTAAACAGATAATCCAACACAGTAATCTGTATTGATTTATGGATTCTCTGATGCTCTACGACTGGTTATGCAATGAAAGTTCATCCTTGATCTGTAGTCTGGGTCCTGGACTTAACTAATTCATAATCTGATTGGAAGTTTTACTTTGTTAATTCAATTACGGTTAACGGCCGAGGAGAGAGCGGCAACATCTTTGTCTTTCTCAACACAGACGGTTTCTTCACATGCCCAGAATCAGTAAACTCTTAAAATCAAAAATTATAGGAGGCAAATAGGTTCTTAAAAAAAAAAAAAAAAAAAAAAAAAAAAAAAAAACCCCCCCC